ATGGTGTGCTTGTTTCAGACATTAATAATTTATTTTCGCGATTTCAGAAGAAAAATGTAATTTGTTTTGTATTACGTAAATATATTTGTTTTAGGGGGCCATATGTATACACAAAGTCAGGTAATTGTTAACTATTACCTGATTTTATTCGCTCTCAGAAGAACTACCATCCAGAGGAACTGGGGCAGGAGACTGGAGAGACCTTTCTTTCACGCCTTGCGGCGGGTATAGCTCTGCCGCTTGTAAAAAAAAAATAATAGATAAGTGAATGTTCATGATCTTTGATAAACAAATACCGGGCCAGGTATTGTGTTATGTAAGCGGCCCTAATACCTGGCCGCTTGACCCATTCTTTCAGGTCCCTCCACAACCTCTCTATATTTTGTGTGTATTTGTAGGTCGTGTGGATCTACAAAGTTCTCAGAATGATTAATACTCATATGTTTGTAACCATGGTGTTGTAGGTTACGGTAGGCAGCCCATCCATCACTGTATATCACACTGTCTGGTTTTATATATTTCTAAATAAGGAGTATGAGCGTGCCTGCACTGCGATCAGTGCCAACCAATGGCACAATGAATGTTTTCTTACTCTCACGCTCAATACCCCCAAAGACCCACACCTTGCTCAACTGTCTGCCCCTATTATATTTTCGGCACACGAGCAGCGTCTCGTCGATCTCAACTATTACACCGGCACCTTCTATTGAATTTTGATTTTGTAACCAATATTCGGTTACTTCAGAACAAAAACTCCTCCAATCTATGCTAGTTGGCTTTGAAATACTAATACATTTAATAATTTGAGTATGATCCAAATGTTTATTAGCCAATGATTCACAAACAAAACTACTTTAAAAGGTTCCAAATGTGTCCCCTGCAGAAACGTGCCTGTATAATCGCTGGTCGAGAAAACGCAACTTTTACGCCGTTTTGTCTTTACAATTTTTCCCATCTGCCACAATACCACATGTCGATCTTCACGATATTTGCAAGGTAAATCACAATGTGGGAAACTTACCGCTCTTGGCAAAACACCGTGTGCCCTCAGAACTCTATAGCGTTATCATTTTTTTTTTTTTTTTTCAAAATAATCAGATATAAAGCTTTAGTAATGCGGATCACACCCTACGCACCTTAGTTCCATTTTGAGCAAAGATTTGGTATATTTGCTTTCCTTGCCCACTAATATATACGTGTGGCACAAATTGTTGCATGCGATTGGTTTATACTATTTCCTGTAATACTATTGGTTCTCGTGACAATTGTCACGCGTATGTGATATACAATAAAAGGTTCAAGAAGTTTCGTGCGCAGTTCATGCGGTAATATTGTTGTTTTTGAAAATCGCGCGTAATTCTTCAGTTCCTTCTTGCCCGTAATATGGACCACACACATCAATTTGCGCAGAAAAAGAAATATCATTGTTACTGTAAATACTCGATTTTATGATGGTATTACGCGTGTAATGTCAGATATTTTTATGCAGAGACAAAATCAACTTCATATAAGTTTAGGCAGAATTTATCTAATAACGAAATGAAAGTCTTACAATAAATGAAACAAAATAAAACGGCATCATTGTTTTGTTTACAAAAAGTAGGAAAGGATATCGGTTGGCGATTTTTAAAATATTGAGATTTTTTTTTTTTTTTTCATTTCGGGCTCTGTGACACTTGCGTGTCCAACAACTTCGTTATTTTAGATTTGCGATGGAAGTTCATAGAAGATAAGTTTCTTAGATTTATTTGCTCTATCACATGCATATATTATTTTCTATATAAAAGACGGCTGGATGGAACTGGACCTATACCGGCGCCGGTTGCAGGTGACAGGAAGGGGAGGAAAGGAGGCGGTAGGAGGAGGATGCGCGCCCAGCTTGCCTCCATCTAATTCGGCTGGAGGCCGCCAGACGAAGGCTGTGTTGGGAGGGGTTAGGAGGATAGGGTGTAGGGTGATATCGGTAGGAGGAGGATGGCTATCGGCAGTCACTTTGAGTGTGGTGGGAGCGGGGGGTTGGAGAATTTGAAGTTGGATGAATGTCAATCTTGATTATGTAGTCTTTAATATTTTCAAGAGTTTCTTCATTGGAGTTGGTTGGGGAGTTTTGTGAGATAAAAGTATGGCCAGGTCGGGCACATAGTGGGCATCTGGCTGTGGAACGACAATGTTTGGCTGGGTGTCCTAACGCCAACAATTTTGGCACTGACGAGGAGGAGGTTGGTATGGTCGGACAGGGAAGGATTTTCCACCTATGTGAACATTAAAGGGAAGGTTATGTCAACGGAAAGTAATTTTGGCAATGTTAGTGGGAGGAATGGAGTAGCATTGTACTGATGTCGCATCATAGTCCGTGAGACGGGCGAGTAAGTCTTCTCCGCAATCTGACCAATCTTTGTCATAGATTGGGCAATTTGCTGGGGAGATACAAACAGTTTCAGTGCAAGTATTGAGGATTGGATGGGGTTCTGCAAGGATGGGATTAACATATAGATCATTTAGATTTAATAATGCTATAGCTTGGTTTTCAGATGTTACTGTGACAGGAGCGGTCGGGTCGGCTACGGAAAGAACCTTTGCCTACTTGTTTTTGGAGTCATTGCTGGAAGAGAAGGGTGTTGTCAGAGTAGGGAGCTGTGGGAGGGATCACAAAAATTCGGTCCCATTTGGCTGGGCTAAATAGAGTATTTAAGGTTTTTGTGGAGATAGGGGTAGTAGAAGGGCGGGGGCGTGTGGAGGAGGGAGTAGTGTTATGGAGAGGTGGGCAATAAGGCTGTAAAGTATTAATAAGGGAGGATGGGGTAGTTGATGAAGAAGGTTGTGGGGGTAGAGGTGTTGAAGTTGAACATGTTGGGAGAGTAGAAATGTCTCCTGGGGGATGAGTGTTGACTAGGGTTGATACTGTACTAGTAGGCATTGAGGAGGGGGTAGTTGTTGTAGTGTTTGGAGCTGTGGTCAGGGAATCGGGAGAGTTTGAATTGTTGGGGCTATTTAGTGAAGGGGTAAGCCTCATTGCCCCTAATAGTGGGATTACGTCTTCATTATTGGCCATGATAAGCCTGGAGTATGTTGGGGAGAAAACAGTCCACCCCTCAGAGTCCCCTCGAGGGGTAAGGGCTAGGTAACCAAAGCAGGGGAATACTGTGCTCATGGCTCCCTCAGGCTGTTCAGGACTGGCACAAAGTCAGCCTTTCATCTTTTCAGCACGGCTCTCACACCTTAGGAAGTGGATAGTAGAAGGGATTGGTGAAGGGACAGAAACGAAAAAATAGGAGTGGAAAAAAGATCATGCAAAATTAGTTGAGTCGAGGGCTGAGTCTCAAGGTTGGGGAGTTCCCCATCATTGGGTCCAAGTCTCCGCCTCCTAAGCCCCCCCACAACAACAAGGGGCAAGGGATTGGGGGGGCACACACAAAAGAATTAAAGTTAATATGATAGATACTAACCCATTGCCGCCAGGGATGGCATGTACATGCCATGCCCACTGTGAGTCGACTTGTTCGATTGTTTTTACACATAGATGGCTACACTTGTACTAAGTCACCAATGCGCCAATTACAAGTACTGCCTGTCTCGCCCGTTCACCCTTTTCATCGATTTACGAAAATATTTAACGTTATCCTAATTTACTGTTAAAAATAACACCATCTATATTTATAGCACTAGTAAGAATACGTTTTTTCCTGCCAATTTAAGGAAAGGTGAAATCAGGACTAGCAAAGCCATCTATGGACAGACATATTTCACAAAAATATAAAAAATGAGTACTGCACTCTCCCCATTTTTTTTTCATTTTCTCCAGCGGCAATGGGTTAAGACATGAGACAGGTCACCTTAAATCCATGAACTCGTATGTTTATTTCAATATATATTTTTTTCAAACACATCAACATGGAAAATTAAAACAACCAATCACCATGGAAAACCAACTTTAATACAATGAATTTCTTTGTTTACAACATAGATAAAAATCTTACTTTATATGTACAACATATTTCTAGGAATGTTACATAATAATTTTTTGTTTTTTTTATTATTTCCACAAATTGGGAGAGACTGCAGGCAAAAACAACCTTCCCTAGTCTTACTTTATTTGTTTTAAATAAGTTTTATTGAGCCAGCTTTACCGTATATGTTAATTTCTGTACAAAAACTCTTCTGTTTTTAGTTCACTTCTGAATAGGACATGAAATCAGAAAAGAGAGAAAAAATGACATTTGCCATTTTTCCTTAAGAAAATACATGAAAAAGAAAAGAAAAGAAAACAAATTGTATAATTTTTTGAGTAAAACCAACTCTAACACTGAATGGCTATGGTGGTATTAAAATATCTATCTAATTTACTAAAATTTATGTTATATTCTGCTCTTAAGTTTTTTCCTTCCTCCTATCATGAGGAAAACAAATTCAAGCATGACTCAGCAATTCCATGAGTATTCTAGAAACAAACACAAAAAAATAACAATAACTACTGAATTTCTCATTCAGTTTCACACATACTGTACCTTCAGCAAAAATACATATACCAGATTTTGGCTACTTGTGTTTTGCTGAAGGTGCCCAATGTCTGCAATTGACAAAGTAAAGTGTGCATAACAAAATTTCAATCAGAAGTCTTGATCCTGTTTTCTAAACCTGAATTATTACTGTTAGATGAGTCCATCTAGGAGGGAGGGAGGAGGGAGAGAGGAAGAGAGGGGGGGAGGAAGAGAGGGAGGGAGGAAGAGAGGGGGGGAGGAAGAGAGGAAGAGAGGGGGGGAGGGAGAGAGGAAGAGAGGGGGGGAGGGAGAGAGAGGAAGAGAGGGGGGGGAGGGAGAGAGGAAGAGAGGGGGGGAGGGAGAGAGGGAGAGAGGGAAGAGAGGGGGAGAGGGAGAGAGAGAGGGGGGGGAGAGAGAGAGGGGGGGGAGAGAGAGAGGGGGGGAGAGGGAGAGGGAGAGGGAGAGGGAGAGGGAGAGGGAGAGGGAGAGGGAGAGAGAGAGAGAGGCAGAGGCAGAGGGAGAGAGGGAGGGAGGGAGGGAGGGAATGTTACATGATCACAAACATTTCTGATGTAATTTTCTTAACTGGAAGTGACATTCAGATCTGTAATTCTTCTTATAAATGATGTGAAATGTAATAAAAAAGTCAAACTGATACTTGATATCAGTCACATAAATAGTATATTTTTTTTTCCAGCTTGTACTGCCACATTTCTTTGTATACATAGAATAAACAAAAAATAAAAAAAATAATAATAATACAAAAATACATTATGGTATTTACAGCAAAGATGTGAAATACTGAAGAGAAAGAGAAAAAAAAATATATACATAGAGTTTGATCAAAACATAATAAAAGATAAATAAGTGAACAAATAATGGCATTATATGCAAAATCCCTCATCTACAGTATTCTATCCCCACCCTCTCCTCCCCCTCCTCCTCCTCCTCTTGCTTTCATTCCCTTACCCCTCCCTACCTCCCCCCTTACAAACACTGGCTCCGGCTGTTCAACACCCTTGCCTCTACCCCCCTTACCCTCACCCCCCATCGCTGTTCAATGCTGTTCCAGAAAATAAGTATTCTGCAACAGAACAGTAGACACAGCAGCTTCTTGAGCTCCTCCTGTTAAAAAGATTGCTGAGCTCTCTTTTGAAAATAAGTATTCTGCAACAGAACAGTAGACACAGTAGCATTCTTGGCCTCCTCCTGTTAAAAAGATTGCTGAGCTCTCTTTTGAAAATAAGTATTCCGCAACAGAACAGTAGGCACAGTAGCCTTCTTGAGCGCCTCCTGTTAAAAAGATTGCTGAGCCCTCTTTTGTACTTTCTCGATGTTGGAGGCCGAGTTCAGCTGTTCGAGGGTTAGCAGCGACACTCCCAGCTGGTCGTCTCTTGTGAAGGGCTGGGCCATCTGACGCAGCCATGGTCTTGTCACCTAGTCAGGCAGAGGGGAGGGAAGAAAGGTTTAGGAGAGAAAAACTCAGGAAGAATACATTACAAAAGTAATGATGACACTGATAATAATAATGATGATGACAATGATTTTGATAATAAAATAATAATAATGATAATCATAATAACAAAACTAATAATGATAAAATAATTATCATCTGTATACTTAATAAAGTCAAGAAATCAGTTCTCCTCAAATTAACCACTTTCAAAGGG